GTAGGGAGCAAATTAGAAGGGCCAAAGCCCAACCAGAACTTAATCTGGCTACTGCCATGAAAGACAATAAAAAATGTTTATATTATTACATCAGCAACAAAAGGAGGACCAAGGAGAATCTCCAGCCTTTTTTGGACATAGAAGGAACCATAGTGACAAAGGATGAGGAAAAGGCTGAGATACTTGATGCCTTCTTTACCTCAGCCTGCAGGTACCCATACCCCTGAGCTGGAAGACAGGGACAGAGAGCAGAATGAAGTCCCTCATAACCCAAGGGGAAATGGTCAGTGACCTGCTACACTACCTAGACACACACAAGTCTCTGCAGCTGGATGGTATCCACTCAAGGATACTAACGGAGCTGGCAGAAGTGCTCATGATATCTACAATTCTGTGATATCATTCACTTAAAATTCTGGAGAAAGAAGCAGAGACAGAAATAATTTCATCCTCCATTTCTCATCTGTGTAAGGCAGCCAAAATCAGGATTCCATGGTAGCAAAATTAATGAACAGGAGGACTGGAGATTACTTTCTGCAATAACCTTTTGGTCACATTCAACTGACCTTAACCAAAAATACAGCAACCATAACAGACCCAAGGAGAAAATACAGAAAATATACCTAGCCTCTCCTATTGGCAAGATATCATGTTTGATATCACACTAGAAGGAAAGTGGCTTGGTTCTACTCAATAATGTATGCAATAATAATTAAGTGCTTTGACATTTACAGGTTGAAAACACAATGAATAGTCAACCCAGAGCACTGGGAGCCCTAGCAAGTAAAAGAAGAAATGGATAATTTTATTTTCCAGTAAGTTTGTTTAAACTTACTTTCAACTAATCACTGCTTCAATTGACTTTGGTGCTAACAAAGCTAGCATTTTGAGCATATATCAATATATATCAATATATAGCATATATCTATAACAAGATCCAAATGCCAATGTCAGAGTCAGTGAAAGTTACATTACAGCAAAAGGACAATATCTGCAACTAGGGAGAAGGAAGGAAATGTCTCATGTCAATCTGTTGCAATCCTTCTGTCTAAGGAATTGTTGAAGGGCTCTAAACCAGAGTAGAGAGGTGAAGGAATTAAAACAAGAACTTCCATTTTGTCTATGAATTGCTCTGCTAAACAGTAACAACAATTTTTCTAGACCAATCAGCTTGGATCTGTCATCTTTCACAGCTGGTACACTCAATAGGAAGTCCATTTTGGTCAGCAACAGCATAAAAAGGGAATGCAGCTTCCAAATGATTTAAATGATGCTTGTGAATTGTCATTTCATAGCTTTTTGCGATGTTCCTGTTCCTATCCCTTGCTTTTATTGGTTAGTATCAGTCTGGATAGAATTCTGTGCAATTCCCAGCTAAGTCACCAGAGAAGGTCCATCTTCATCATGTATCAATTTGATTTCAAGCCTTGAAAAACACCCAGCCTCGAGAAGAAAAACAATCTGTAGTACACTTCAGGAGAACAAAAAGTAAAAATATTATAACTCATGATAAATGTTTGGTTTCCATCTGAGGCGCCTCCCTACAGCCCCCCCTTATGGGTATGTTTCTCCTGTCTGCGAGCTACCACAGTCCAGACTGAGGAATATTTTTAATGCAAGGATAGGCATGAATTTCAAGTAAAAGATCAAAATGGTACCTTTTCAATTTTTTAAAGAATAGAGCTAATTAACCTTTTTATCAAACTACACACATTTTCAAATTACTTAAATGGGAAAAATACTGGTTTAATTAGGATTTCACAGGGAGAGACAGTTGCAAACACTTGGATGAGAGAAATTGAGATCTTTATGAGGAGCGTGCTGTATGTTTTACAATTCCCTGTGTCTTTTTGTTGTTTGCGCTTCAGATGGAGTCCATTTATATCTGTCTGTCTCCTGCTGAGAGAATCTGATTTTATCATGTTTCAATGAAGCTATTAAAAACATCAATCATGAGGTTCCCCCTTTCCCTTTGTATGTTTCTCTCTCTCTCTCTCTCTCTGTCAGAGTGGCACTGTGACATTGGTTATATGGCAGCATACATTGATTTGCTTTGTTTTACAAGTTGATTAGCTAATCCTCTTGCAATCATACCTTGCTTTACAGAAAACTTGGTACCTATGTTTCCCCTATCTGGGTCCTCACATGGTTTCTATTTTGTAGGTCTAGGATTTTGATGAGTATGCAATGCTTTCTTCTCTTTCTTTCTTTGTAGTAAGTGGTGAAAAGTCCAAGAGTGACAGCTTGAAGTTCTATACATATACAAAAAGAACAACATGAACAATGCTGGCAAAGCCTTCCCCCTCACTTCAGGAGCTCAGGAATATTCCAGAGGTATAAAAAGAACGTACTAACTGACACAGTAATACAATACCAGTATTTTGGTGGCATTATGTCAAAAGAGTTGAATCATGATTAAAACAAGTTATTAGCCTAAAAGAACTTCCTCTGACCAAAACAAAACACAATAAAAAAAAAAACCAACAGCCTGAAATATAAAATTTGGTAGATGTTTGTATTTAAATAATATTCAAATTGATCAATTGAGTCTATAAAGCCTGAAGCCTGGATATAGCCCTGCATTAATTTCCAGTCTTTTGCTTTTGTTTGTCAGGTAATGTCAGACAAATTGTGCCATACAAATTGTGCCATATAAAGCTGAACACTGTATAGGTCTTAGTAAACAAGATATCAGCATTTGATTTTTGCATTCTGTGTCTCTTCAGCCAGCTCCATGTGATTAATGCTACAATGCTGCATATATAACTGATTTTCAGTTTGCTTGCAAGATTGATGTCCCTAATGCAAAAGAAAAAATATTTTTTATCTTAGGCCAAATGGAAAGTTGTGCTTTCCCCCAAAACATTGTATATTGTTTAATCTGTTTTTACCCTTTTTACTCAAATCAAAGTAGATTTTGAGATAAAGAGCTGTTTTTAGATGGAAAATCAGAATATTTTATATCGGAAGTACTTAAACCATTAAAAATGGCAAAAGAGTAATTTAATAGCAATTCATAAAACATCTTAATTGTTCTTTGTAATTTTTTTGACAAAAGATACAGTTAAGAATAGTTTTTTTCAGTATTAGATAGTTCAGTGTTATCAATAAAATTTTGCCCATTTCTGTTCGTAACACCTGTGCTCTTTTGAAGAACACAGATTGAACCTGAGCAATCTGGCTGCTTGTTCTACAAAGTCAACAATAATTAGGAGTGAAAATATTTTTTTCTGCTGCTTTTGAGCAATAGGATGGAAAAAGCCCGGACCATTTGGCCAGGCACTGAACCATACTCAAGGAAACAGCACAAAGTCAAGGAAAGTGGCCTCAAGAACTTGGGGCATGTGGATCTCACTGGCTCAAGAACTTGATAATTTATGAATCTATTTCAGCTGCAGCAAATGGCCCTTTCACGGCTTACAGCTCCCCGACAGAATTTAGATGATGTTTTTAGGCTATGATTTTAAGTGGTCCTAGAGTGGTGGCTGCAGGGAGAAATTTACCTTGATGTCAACTCCTTTTTACTTTCTCTGAAATGCCTCATGTTAACAGCCACAAGCACCTCACCTGGCAGCCCATGGGCCAGGGCAAGGACTTGTGTTTCCTAAGGCCAGAGGTTTTCTGCTCTCCAGTAGCAATGATTTTTCCAACCACCCATGCTCCTCCTCCCACGGCGACCCTGCTGGTCCCTGGCAGCCCTCAGGCATGACAAGGGAGCTGTGGAGGGCAGGGAAGGTGGGAGGAAACAACCTTCCAGAGGCCAAGCAGGATGAGCATAGTGCAGGGGTAACTCTCACGCCTGTGTAATTAATGACTGGAGTTAACCATGAGGCTGATATAGGTGGATGGACTCACACCACCAGCACCACCCTCTATTTATCCTCTCTTCCAGCAGTGGGAACAGCAGCGATTCTTGGATCAACTTCCCTCCCCTCTTCCCCCCCCCCCCCCCCCCCCCGAGGCTTCAAACTGCTGCCAATCATCTGCAAACACCCCACCCCTTTCTCTGTTAATCCAATCAGAATGCTTTCAGCCAGCCCTCCCCTCCCCCATAGGCTGCTTGCATCCAGAGGGGCTGTCAATCACACATCAGGCCCCTCCCCTCCCTGTCTTCCAGCCCCTGCTGTGAGGAATGGGAGACCCCTTTCATTTTCTGTAGTGGTGTGGGGGGAGTAGTTTAGTGCAGTAGCCTAGCAGTGTCTCTTCAGCTATTGCTCACCTGAGGAGAAGAAAGTTCTATTCTTATATCCTTAATATACTACCATAGATTTTACCATCTGAAAGGTGCATAGCCCAGACAAATCATCAGTCTTCTGGGCAGACCGCAGTCACTCTTGTCCAGGCCACTGCAACAGAACCCTGCTAGCAACCCAACTGATACAACAACTAAATAGGTCTTTTCTGTGTTCTTGTAAGAATCAGATTTTCATAACTCTTTTTCTCACAGCTTGAAGACAGCCCCCTGGTTCACACTAATCCCTCAATCTGATGAAATCCTGGACACTCGATACATCAACTCTCTCTTGGTCTGTGCCTACACAGGCACAAGATGATTGTTGCATTTGCTTGTGTTTGCTTACAGAGATCCAAGTGCATCTTCACATGTGGGTGCCCCATGCATATACACCCATAGATTCTGTCGCATCAAATGGAGTGTGTAGCAGGAGAGGTGCTTCACGAATTCAGATGCTGATAGCTTATGGCCACCGCTGGCCCCCCATAACAGAAAAGAGGATGCATTTTAGACCTTTGGTGGCTTGCTCTTGGGGATCACTACTTCTGTCCAAAGGGGCTAGTGTTTTCCAGACAGATGTATTAAAGAACTCAGCATTGAGCAAGTTATGAGGTGCCCCAGCACAGCTGTAGCATTCAGAGAAACTGCTCTAGAGCAGTTTCCCTCACAGTAAAAGAATAAAACCACTCTAAGCTGATGAGCCGCTCACAGGCTCGGTGAGCTGCCGTGCCTGTGAGCGGCAACCGTCTTTGTGCTGAAGACGGGTTGTTATGAGACTTGTGCCATTCCCCCATCGCTTTCTCTCATCACAGAACCTGAAACAGGAAAGTGCAACCACCTGCCTCAAAGGTATAGATCTGCTTGGCTGCTTCCTTCTTTCACTATGAAGTTTTAAGGGTAAATACGCTGAGTAAATTAGTATCACATTTTCTGTGGAGTTAAACAAATAAGGTCTTAGCTGCAAGGCTTGAGATTCAGTGTGTTTTCCACCGCAGGTGCATCAGGTTTTTCGCCTTGTCAGTGGGGGATCAGGACTGTGCTCAGGAGGAATGTACTTATTGGAACAGAACAAAGAAAATAATGAATGGAGAAATTTCTTTTTATTAGTCAGGAGCAAAAGAGATATCCAGATTTCCCAGAAACTTTAAGGTTGCTCTGGCAGAGATCAGACTATTGTATCTCTGAGACACCCATTGTGATCATACCAACAGGGGCAAGATGCTTAGAAAGAAAAATGCTTCTGGCAGCTGCAGATCTGGCATTATTGACCCTCCTTTTGGTGTCTTCTGTGGAATGTGGTGGTTTCTTAAGGGGTCAGGCATGAATGTAATTTCTCCTCAATTGTTTTTTAATGTCCTTGTAAAGCTTTTTGATGCACTGTAAGCCTAATATGCAATATTGTTATGAGACATTTCTTTAGACTGGAGTGCTATAGAGCTGTATAGCAAGGTCTTGTGTGTGTTTCATGTGTGTTTGTGTACATAAAGTTCATAATAGTTGTCTCGTAGGAACAAAAGGACATCAGTCTATAAGAAACATTTTAGTAGCATCCTATCAGTATAAAATTTTCTTAGAAAAAACAATAATCTAAACTCTCTTCAACAGCAGTGGGAGAATCTGTCCCTTTTATAATTGCCTGGTGAAAAAAGGTTTTATAATGACTGAGCTTTTAGTAAATGGGCATGACAGGAGGAGATGGGTTTTGGGATAAGAAAGAGTTACCCATCAGTTATGTTTTGATATGCAAGATTGTAGGTGATGCAGCCATCCACTTGAAAGTGGAAGAGAGAGAGGCCCATGCTTTAGCCTCTTCTCACAGGTTTCTGAGTAGGACATAAAATCTGGCTATGATGTGATGGTGAAATGAGTTGTGGAACAGATATGGAGAAACCATGTTTCCTTAGTAGCAGCTCAGTGAAAAAATGTTGCAGTGAAGCAATTCTCTTTACTTTCCTATTTAGTGACATTTACTTCTATTTCTTTCTTACATTCTAACATGACAATCCCACGGATAAGAGATTAAGCACAAAATAGCAGGGTGTGTCATTCCCATTTTTATCAACAAAGCAGAATAACCTGGAGATGGATGGAGATGCAATGTGGAATGTACACATCTAAACTTAGCATAGTTTTGTTGTCTGGATTTTGGAGTTGCTTTCATCTCTAGCGCTCCCTTCTGCACACATCTCCTAAACTAAGACTGAAGGATCTGCCTGGGCAAAACAGGCAGCTTCCAGAAAGCCAGGGCTCTGCTGCTCAAGTTAGTTTTTTGTCCTGATCTCTTACACCTTCTTGCATTAGTTTCCATAAGGTGTAGCGTGTGTGCAAGCTTGTCTGGTTTTTATAAGTTATAGCCATTACTTTTCTCTTCATGTTTGTCTTCCTTTACCTGTTCACATGGAATTTCTTTTTTTTCTCAGGATTATATTCTACTCTTGTAACCATACACCAATGCCCTCCGTTTTTGCTGATTCAAGGGCAACAGCAGTGAGGTTGTAATGTCCTCTGCACAATGTTATATTTTACTCTCCCCATCAACTTGCAGCTTGACAGCAGCTCTCTTTAGCCACAAGCAATATCTAAAAGTTTGGCAGGCAAGAGGCTGCTATTAAGCTACAGATCTGGAACTACTGCTGTAGGCAGTCTCTTCTGGTTTATTTTTACTGTCTGACATAATGAAAATGTTCTTCATTCTCTTCCCTATGTTTCTTTCCCTAGCAGTATTTTCACTTGAAATTCTCCTCTTAGTGGAGCTGTAAGATATATGTATATACACACACACCTTAAAATATACTCACTGGCAAGTTCAGTCTCTGATATTAGTTAGAAGAACCTACCTACTGGGGCAGATAAAATGCCATATGTTTGACAAGTAAAGAAATATTGCTACCAACAGTTGATATGTCTGGGTCTTTGGGGGTCATTTTAGTTTCTTTAGTTTTTTACAATATAATGAGGCCCCGACTTCCACTACCTTTTTCCCTTCTCTCCAGAGTCTCTTTTTGGTTTAAGAAGAACGTAACAATTCTATCTTCTTTCGGTTCCTCAAATGACTATATAGAATCACAGAATCATTAAGGTTAGAAAAGACCTCTAAAATCATTGAGTCCAACCATTAAGCCAGCACTGCCATGTTCACCGCTAAACCATGTCCCTAAGTGCCACATACATATTCAATATAATGATTGTCACACACTTGATCCAAAGCTCAGGGTTGACTACCAACCATATTCCAGTCAGCACAAATTTTATCCATAAATCCCGTGATATCTTTCAAAAATCTTTATTTTGCAACTCCATTGAAGGAGTCTTCTTAGTCTTTTCATCTTCATTTGCCACCATTCTTTGCACATTTGGGCAGCAGGAAAGAAAGTATATTACCATCAGGGTTTATATGGCAGTAACTGTCTTTCCTGCACAAGCCTTTCGTCTTAATGTCTACAGACGTTTTTGCCTATTGATGGGCATTTTGCCCATTTGCTTTTAAGACAGATGAGTGTGAATGCTCTCACTTTATAACTGTAATCAGGCCCAGGTACATGAGTGTGATGACATTGAGATGACAGAAGCACTAAAGCTGTACCAGCCAAACTAACTTGACAATCTGCAAAAATGAACTGGTCCCCTGATGAGGAGGTTTTATGGATTTTGGTGCCGCATTCCATTTAAATATCTCCATATATGGCTGCACTGCACTTTTTCAACGCATCCTGCAGTACAGAGATGTGAAGTGACTTGCCCAGGTATGCACAGCAAAACTTTAGCTGAGCTGGGCTTGGAAACTGGATTCCTAATCTTTCTTCATCACCAAACAAGGTTGTCTTGTTTCTGCATTTTATAGTGATAATTTAATTTTAAATACTATTTTAAATGAGCACTTTTTTTAAACGGAGGAGAGAGACTTGCACAAACACAAGTAGAATTGGTAGTCACATCAGCTAGGCTAACAAATGTATGTACTATAGTCTTCATGGTTCAAAACACTAACTGAATCCCATGATACAACCATTCTAGTGGGCTGATGTTGTACTCAAATGCTTCAATGTTTGATCACTACTGTCCCAGGGATATTTAACTCAACCCAGCTGGATAATCTGGGAGAAAGGAAGGGCATCTTCTTTTCTTTTGCTTTAGCCCAGAATGCTATCTCTGAAGCATAGTTGCTGTAAATAATGTTTCTAGAAGGATTTCAGATATATGAGAATGAAAAAAAATTATCCTGGAAGGGTCTGAGTTCTTCACGTAGCCATAACTTTTTTTAATTGTTCTGCTAATTAGAGAACCATGCTAAAGTACCATTTAAATAACATCTAAGCAGGGGAGACTAACCTTTGAGGAATAAGCTTGCTAATAATGGACACATTATCCTGGCACTAAGATCAGAGGTCAGTACTGCAAAATATTATGAGATGAAAGAAAATTACTCGAATGCCTAAATGAACATTATGTGCCAATACATGATGAAATTCTTTTTTACCTCTCTTGGAACTCCCAAGATCCATCCTTCCTCCCTCTCCCCAACTCTAATCTTTTTTTACATATGGCTTTATCTTTTCAGAGCAGTGTAAAGTACTAATAACATGCCATTTTTTCCCCGAGGCACTCTATGCCTTGTGTTCTCTAGTTTTTCCTTTCCCCATTTATTCTTTTTTTATTATCTCATCATGAAAAATCCACCAGTAACACTTACAGTACAAACTTAAACCCCCAGAGCTCTGGCATTCCTTTTTTATTTTTAAAACCTAGCTACATAAATAACATCATGTTTCCAGGTCATAGGCACTCCAAAATACAGCTGAGTTCTGGCACTGGAGAAGCACTCCATAACCCTGCAATCTAAACAGGGATGTGAAACAACTTCTAAAATTGTCTCTGTGCATAATCATGCCCTGGTAACTGTTTTTCATGTGGAAGTGTATAGTGTATAAAGCCAGGACACTAGAGGCATTCTCTCTGAGTGTTTGTATATGGCATTTGCTGAACCACATCAGACTATTTGTCTGTCACATCCAGTATGCTCCCCAAATAGTAGTCAAAACATTGATTCTGAGAAAGGTGACCAAACCTTCTGTCAACTAAGTGTGTAGAGCTTTACAGGGGGATGGAGCAAACATTTTCTAACTCTATCAGGATGATTAGTTTACAGTTTCAAGTGGTATTATCAAGTTTCAAGTTGTATTATCATTACACTGGTTGGACTATCCTTTCTTGATAATTCTAACAGTGTAACAGATCTCTGAGATTAAATCCATCAAAGCAAACAAAAACAAATCTCCCAATCTTCTCAGCTGTCAAAAAGAACTGAATCTAGTCTGAAAACGCTTTCCCATCTTGAACAGAAGGTGAATCTTAATACACTGAAGCAATCAAGTACTTTCACGTTCTTAGTAGAAAGGGATGAAGAGACATCCAATATTACGTTGCCAAAAATTACATCAGCGTTGTCATAATCATGTCACTACCTTCAGCAGAGGCCATGTGCTGCACTTGCCTCCTTTGCCTACTGATTTGATACAGCATATGTTGCTATCTCCTGTATACTGAGTAATGACACATGTACTACATACCCAAATGGTTTAACGCTACCTTCTCCTTTTGCTGTAATGAGCCCATTCAACAATGAAAGTCTCTGAATGTTTGTGTTGTCAGATTAGCTTTAAATGATGTTCAGGCAAACATTTTTCCTTTCCCACAACATCGCAGCAAGGCAGTTCTCAGTGGGGCTGACACTGCTGCTCACAGTGGGAGTTTCATCATTCTGAGCAGCAGCTGCTTCACTCTGTTTCCAACAGAAGTGAAGCCAACTGTCCCTGCTGAAAGATGGTAGAGGCTCTACTATCTACTGAGAA